TCTATCTAAAATGAACATTTAAGTTATCTTACTTTTGGCCAAGACTATTCTTTTCTGGATTGCTTTGCCCTTTTTTGGTTGAACTTCTTCTTGTTTGCTGAAATCAATATTAAAAAATACTTTAAATTAAAATGAACATAAATGGTACACAAATAGATAGTTATCAAAAATGAAATGAACATTATATATTTATACCTTTGATCAACTTCATTTTTGTCCTTTTTGTCAGGAGTATTATTGTATGGATTGCTCTGCTCTTCTGGTTGAACTTGTTTTTGCTTGCTGAAATCAATTTTAAGACTTTTAATAAAAAAAATGCACATAAATTGTACACAAAATATACAGTTATCAAAAATGAAATGAAAATTATTCATTAATACCTTTGATCTTCATCATGTTTGTCCTTTTCAGGTACAATTGTATCCTGGTTTTGTTCCACATTCTTTTCACTGAATATTATATATATTCATTAATTAGAATTTGTATTATAAGAAATGAACAAATTTTGTATGTAAAATGAAAATTTGTTTATATAAAAGTGAGCATTAGTATACCTTTGATCCCTATACTCTTTTTGTCAGTTGTGTTATGTGTAGCAGACACACTCTTAGTTGTTGCATGAGTAGCAGAAATGTTCTCACTTTGTTCACTTAAAAACAACAGAATTATTTTATATAATATGATATTAAAGTATGAACTAATTTATACAATGAAGAAGATAATTAGTTATTTTGGTATAAAGCTTTTATACCTTATTGTTTGATTTGTCTCTGGTGGTCTTGATTTTGACATAACAAATTTCACTCGAACCTTTTTTTTTCACTAAAATTTTAAGAATTACCTAATAAGTTTGGTATATATATACAATGGACAATAATTGCATGTAAAAACAATTATTTTATACATATAAACTTACTTGTTTAAAGTGTATCTTTGATAACTATTACCATATTCATTTTGTTCTATAACTTCTTTAGAGTTAATGGTTCAGATTTTTCATCTCTAAATTGAAGCAAGTGTATCACTCTAAATGGCACATCACTACATTATAATTAATTACATGACATTAGTTTGAATGCATATCACTGAATGATTATTATCATATTTATATATGTGCATGATGTTTTAATGAAATGTACATTTGTTATTTGAATCTCAATGAATACTCAAAATGAACAAATATACATATATGATCATAATTATATCTATAAATGAACATTATGAGTATCAAATATGATCATATACAATGATGTTTCATTGAAACGTACTTTTGCTCTTAAATCTCAATGAATACTCAAATGAACAAATATAAATATATGATCATAACTATATCTATAAATGAACATTATGAGTATCAAATATGATCATATACAAATAGCATATTAAACAAAGATGAAACCAATTTTTATCAAATACGACTAACATATTAGACATGAACATAATATATTCTGTAAATGATAATTACCTTGGTAATATATGGAGACATTTTAAAATCCGTACCAATTGACTTGTCAATATCTTTCAAAAGTTCAAGATCTACAATTGGAGCATTTTGGCGGGTTTTTTTCAACCTTTTCTATTGTTGACTGAAGAGGTACATCATCATCGTCTCTGTTTTTGTTTGATAAATTTTTATTGTTTATATTAATTTGTTAATATTCAGTAAAATTTACTACAATGGCAAGAAATTGAACAAAAATTAGGGTTCATACATACAATTGAACTAAATTGAACAAAAGTTAGGGTTCATACATTTCTTCAGAAATTTTCAACAAATTACTCGACTCTGAAGTATTCTTTTCCAAAATCATACTACAATTGCAAAAAATTGAACAAAAATTAGGTTTAACATATATATTCGCTCTATAATTTTCATCGCAAGAAAATGAACAAAATTACTTACTCTTTGGTAACATTTTGCTCCGATTTTCCAGTTTCATCTTGCATGTTCTTCTCTAAAGCGTTTTTTTTTTCCAAAATCACTCTACAATCACAAGAAAATAAACCAAAATTAGGCTTCATACAAAAAACTGTACTAAAATCGCAAATTTGAAGCAATTATGTAGTGTTTTGAAGCAATTTTGCAATAATTTGAAGCAAATTTCATTCCGATTCGACGGTGTTGATGAGAGAGAAACTCTAGAAAAATGAAGAAGATGTTATTTAGAGAGAGAAAATGATTTGAAATGGATTGTTTTTTTTAATATATATATATATATTTATATATATATTTATATATATGTGGGGTAGGGGAAGTTATTTCCTAATTTACTGCGGTTAGTGGGGGTAGTTACTGTAGTTTGTGGGGAAGGGGAAAAACGCAAAACGCTGCGTTTAGATGGGGGTGTAGGTTGTGGTACCTACACTAGGGTCTAGTGTATACCGATTAGTATAATTACACACATAAGTTGACGTCTCACCTAAAACATCAAAAATGCAGCCCATACCAACTAACTACGATTTTGGGCCCTTCCAAAATCCAAATCTTGCTGACGCCCATTTACTTTTTTTTAAAAAAAAACCTAAGGGCTAAGCCCACTCTTCTTTTTTTTTTTTTTAAAAAAAAAAAACTCTTTTTCTACTTCCTTTGGCCTTCATTCAAGTTAGAGCTGTCAATTCGGGTAAACGGGTCGGGTTTGAGTCGGGTCATCTCGGGTCGAGTCAATACGGGTTAATGTCATAACATATGCGGGTTGGGTCATGCTTGAGTCGAGTCACGTCGGGTCATACATCTTATCGGGTTTGGGTCGGGTTTAGGCCGGATTAGTAAATGGTCGGGTTACATCGAGTCGGGTGAAAAATAGGTCAGGTTAAATTCGGGTCTTTATGGGTTTAAACGAGTTAGGGTCGTTCTCGGGTTCGAGTCGGGTTCGATTCAAGTCAATTATTTACGGCTTATAATCAGGTCGGGTCATTCTCGGGTTTGTGTCGAGTTCGGTTCAAGTCAATAATTTGCAGGTTATAATCAAGTCGGGTCATTCTCGGGTTTGAGTCGTGTTCAGTTCAAGTCAATAATTTGCCGAAAACATGTTTCGACCCTGAAATTCGTCCCTAAAAACATGTTGTGAAACTAACCTCTTAAAATTCAAAGTGAAATATTGAAGGAATAGAGTTAGGATTCAATTTCCGTTCTAATACCAACATGAGATAACGACCTATACATATTGATTCAATAACAAGTTCGGGTTGAATTTGGGTCAGGTCAATAACAAGTCGGATTGATTCGGGCCGGGTTGTAATTCGAGTCTGGTTTATAGCAGGTTGGGTAAAAATCGGATCGGGTTAGGAACAAGTCGGGTTGAATTCGGGTCGGGTTAGGAACAGGTCGGGTTGAATTCGGGTTTTGGCGGGTTAAAACGGGTTTGGGTCAATTTCGGTTCAGGTCAGGTTTGGTTCAGGTCAATAATTTACGGGTTACATTCGGGTCGGGTCGTCTCTAGGTTGGTTAATATTCGGGTTCGGGTCTCAAATACTCGGGTCAACTCGGGTTTAGGGTTGGTTTCAGGTCGGGTTTGAGTCACCATTTTTTTCGGGTTCAGACAGGTCGGTTAATAGGTCGGGTTAGGGTCAGTATTTCAGGTCGGGTCAGCTTTTGACAGCTCTAATTCACGTACGCTAAACTACCAAAGAGAGAGAAATAAATAAATAAATAATCTGGTGGTGCATCATCACTGCTTCCCAGCGTTGGAAACCACCGCCCGGACCGCCACCTGGCAGGCACCGCGTGCCAGTCGGTCTTCCCTCTTCTCTTTCCTCATTATACTAGTTTGTAAATTCATGCTTAATTTTCATATGTTTTTCCTATTGATATTAGATACTTGTTTTAATGATCTAATTAATTATATGATGATATAAATTTATTTATTGGTTTTCAGATTTTATTATGTATGAAGCTGGGGTTTTAGACTTTGAAATTTTATGTGTTTAGGGCTTAAACCGTGTTTAGCAAGTTATCTAATTATTCTATGATTTCATAATGATAAAGCTTGTAATTTTATAATTAATATAAATTTTCAAAGTATATACTTTGCAAAATTTGGATTTTATGTTGATTGTTTCTAGGGTTTTAAGGTTTTTTAGCAGATTAAACGGGAGTCTTTTAGGAACAAAATTGGAGCTTAATTATGGAGAAAGTGGGGAATTTGGGAGGTAAAACAATGGAGAAACAATCGAGTATGATCTGAGACGGGTTAAGCTTTCGACATGTTGGTGAGAAACCTGAGAGTTCCGGCAAAACTATGGAGAAAAATGGGAGTTTCAAGGCGGTATAATTGAGAAACATGAGTTAACGTGGGTTGTTGGAGAAACAGAAGAGTTTTCATGGAGATGGAGAGGCAATCAACTTTTTGTGGCAATAAGAAAAGGAAAAGAAAAGATAAATACTGTAATTGGTTTTCTATTAATATGCTGCATAATAGTACTACGACAGATGGACTTTATTATTGAGTGTCATTATGAGTATAGAGATAAACTATATGATATGTGAACTGAACAACTGATTTATGGAACTTTGTTTGTATGCTAATTGATTTATATTGTGTGTATCTATTGTACGGTCATATTATATGAATTGATCTGATATGCAATTTAGTTGCTCTTCAGATTGACGAGTTGGCGACTATCTCTGATTCCCCTGCACCATTGGAGTGCTATTAGTATTTCATGTGTAAATAGCATGAAGTTTAATCATGGGTTGATTTTTTGCTGACTGTAAGTTGATATTGCAGGTCCTTGTTTATAGTATTATGGAAAAAAAGTATATATATCCTTTTTCTCTACCTTTACATGTTGGTAATGAAGATTAGATATTACTGAGGCTTTTCTTTATAAATAATACTTCTAACTGAAGTGCCATTTTGTTTGGCCGGTACCTTAATCAGAATGTATTTTGGAGTTCATATGTTATAATGTTGCATTATCTATTCTTTAGAGTTGTAGCCTGTTAGTAGTACATGCTCACATATGTTTACATCCGGGTCGATTTTGTAACAAGTCGGGTTAATAAATTCGATGTGGGTTAGTAATTGGTTAGGTTACATTCGGGTTTGACGATTTAAACGGGTTTGAGTCAATTTCGATTCAGGTCGGGCTTGGTTCGGGTCAATAATTCACGAGTTATATATTCAGGTCGTGTCAGTTGATGTTCCGTTCGGGTCTCAAATTCTCGGATTCACTAGGGGCTAGAGTTGGTTTCGGGTCGGGTCATATCAGGTTCGGGTCACCATTTTTTCGGGTTCAAATGGATCGCTTAATGATTGGGTTCGGGTCGGTTTTTCGGGTCGAATTAGCTTTGATAGGTCTAGATACATCGATAATTTTATTAACATGTAGCATATTTATGGAATTTTGTTCTCTTCTCAGATTATCCATGGAAATTACTCTTTAGTAACTAATAACTTGGTAATCACTGGCCTTAAAAAAAAAAAAAAAAAAAAAACTTGGTAATCACTTCTATAAAAAATATTGGAGTACTACTCACCATTTTTTTTTTTCTTTTTGGTTGTTACTATGTTTTATTAAAGACTATCTGCATCTATATACTCAATAATTTTTAATCCTATCTTTAATTATAACACGTGCATTAGCACGTGCATATTCTAGTGGCTAAGAGAGAGTAAAAGGGTAATCTAATATATAATTTAACAGTTACTTTTCACCAAAATCCTCCAAATCCCCAATCTTAATCTCTCATTCACTCCCGCCTTTTCCACTTAATCTCTCTACACAGCCTATTCTACTAACTTATTAGATTTGAATTTCAAAAAAATAAAAAATAAAAAATAAAAAAGAAAACCCCAAATCGTGGTAAGGCAGTTATCTTAACTCCACCACACTACTCCATAACTGCACACACACACTACAACAGAGTAATAGAGTATGGATTATATACTACATACTTTGCAACACTCATTTCACTCACACACACAAAAAAAAAAAACACAAATCTGATTGTTTGGGGTTTCAATCAGGTAACCAACATTTTGCTCACACAATTCCGGCGAAGTCATACATCTACGCCGTCGTCTTCGATGTTGCCTTCTTCTTCTTCTTCGTGGATTCACTTGAGATAGGTGCTTTTTGGTGTTACTAATTCATCTTCTTCTTCCCTAATTTCAAGGTAAAAACAAATTTTGTGTTAATTATTTGATTGGATTTATTAGTGGGAATGCATTTTAGACATTTCTGTTAATACGTTGTTGTCCTTTCTTTTTCTTTTACTCTGATTTTGCTTACACATGGATGCTGATTAGGGGATTTTGCTCCCACCAATTACCATCTGACAAGTGGACCAATCAGGTTCCGCCATGTGTCCGCCACATGAGCCAATAGGAGTCTGCCACGTGTCAAGCAATGATCCGTCCACCTTGGACCAATTACGACACGACACGTGTCCTTCCCATAACACCTGGGATAACCGGTCACCTAGGCCCAACTTCCGAGGGAAGCCCAATCAGCCCAAGGTTAACCTAAACCTAGATTGGCACGTTTCCCGAGGTTATAAATATCTCCCTTAATCCTCATTAAGGGGGAAAAACAGGCTGATCACGCTAAAAAAGCAGATTACCTACATTAAACACTCTCACCTACAGAGACCCAATCACTTTAATTTCCGCATTAATTACTCCTTAAACAAGTACTAACTTGATCGTTAGAGGCGGAGCTCCCACCACAAGGAGTCTCCGTTGTTTTGCAGGTACAGGCGTTCGGTTCCAGTCTCGGAATTGTAACTCTCCCGCAGGACATCAGAAAACCCCGAAACATTTGGCGCCGTCTGTGGGGAGAGTACTTCTGAGATGGCATCCACGTTTGTACCGACTCCTGAAGAGAGGCGTCCCCTAGACGACCCTCAAGTTCAGTCGGACCACGATACTGAGAATGAATTTGAAGTTGAAGCTCACACAGCTTCAGACGGGACCCTACGGGCCCGACGTACCCGTCATACCGAAAGGAGGGAACGGGAACATCTTCATACAGGAAGCGAGCCAGCAGGCGCACCGCCTGTTCGGCAACAGCCGACTGATGGGTCTGCTCCCATCACAAGGAGTGAACTCATGACCTTCATGAGGGACTTCAAGGGAGAAATTCAAGAGTTGATCAACAAGAAGCCGCCTGCTCTGGACAAGGAGCAGTCGGCTAAGAAACCAACCACTTCACAGAAGAGGAAGCCAGTTCAAGGGCGAGAGGCGACTCCTCATCCTAAATCTAGGAAGCGGGAGCCACCTGCCCTTGATTTCACAAAATACCGTTTTCCTACTCCAGGAAATAGGAAACCTGTTCGTCATATTCAGGCGGACGGGTCGAGGAAATCATACACAGACGCTCGGCTACTGCTAGAGCAGAAGAAGAGTGACCGATTGTCAGAGTCGGCCTCTACTTCAAACTTCCAAGACAGTCTACGAAATACCTCGATGAGGCATACTCATTCGTATCATGAGAGTCAGTCAGGCGGCACCTCCCGTCAGTCCGGCTTTCATAGCGACCAGGCGGTACCAAACTTACCGTTTGTACCGCAACAACAGTATTTTTTACAGCCACCACCGTTTGGTGGACATGCAGCAAAAAATGTCCAACCTATGGACTGGCAGCTACGGTTGCTTAGACTTGGTGAACAGCCGTCGGCCTTCTCCAAGGAAATTACTGAAGCCGCTCAGCCGGCCAAAGTGAAAAATGTATTAGTAGGCGCCTATGACGGCACTACTAACCTAGAAGACCATCTGATGGCATTCACCAACCTGATGTACCTTCAAGGGTTGGATGATCCCACTTGGTGCAAGTGTTTCCCAGCGACTCTCAAAGGAATCGCACAACAATGGTTCGGCAACCTGCCGACTGGTTGTGTAAATAACTTCAGGACGCTTGCTTACTTATTCACCTCCAACTTCGCCATGAACATCCCTGCGAAGAAGACGACCCTTGATTTAGGAACAATTCAGCAGGGCGAGAAGGAGGGGCTTTGTTCTTACATCAGGCGGTTTAACCTGATGAGAATACAGATTCAAGGGTTACCGGATGAAGTAGCCTATACTGACTTTTTCAGAGGTCTCAAAGACGGGTCGACCTTCAAATTTGACTTGGTCCGAAAGAGGGTGGCGACTCTTCAAGAGGCCTTGATTGAGGCGGAAGCCTATAAACAGGCGACTGATCTTTGTGGTACGGTAAAACAGTCGGACCGGAAAAGGTTCGACAAAAGAGAAGGACGACAGAAACAGTCGTCAAACAAAGACGAGAAGAGAAAAGAGGTCTGGGCGGCTGATTCCTCTAAACAGCCGGCCCAGAAAAAGAAAAAAGAATTCAAACCATACTCCCCAAAGTATGCGTTTAACAAGGATAGCCAATTTATCCTAAAGGAAATCAAGGGACGGATCTCAATTGAGAAGCCGGTCCCCATGAAGGGTTCTGCAAACAACCGGAACCAAGAAAAGTTCTGTGCTTATCATGAAGATGTTGGTCATCACACCAATGAATGCATCAGTCTCATGCGGTATCTGGACCGCCTGGCTGAGCAAGGTGATCTTGACACTTATGTCAAGAAATCTACGGGGAACACTTCCTCGAAAAAGCAGTCGGCCAAAAAGAATCAACAGGTCGACAGCTCCGATACAGATGATGCAGTCGTCTACACCATTGCAGGCGGCTTCTCAGGAGGCGGCCCCACTATTAGGGGCAACAAAGACAATATCAGACGGTTAGATGTAAATTCCGTTCACCAAGAACGGCCCTCCAAATATTCATTTCCTGAGATTGTCATCAATGAAGAAGATCTAGGAGGGGTAAGAGGGCCGCATGACGACCCTATCGTTATTGAATGTAAAGTGGCCAACCAGAGAGTTGGCCGAATCCTCATAGATACCGGAAGCTCCTCAGATCTCATCAGTAGCAAATGTCTGTCGAAACTAAAATATCAGACTGATTGCATACATCCGGCATCCCACCCTTTAGTAGGGTTTGGAGGAGGAGTCGTCCACCCAGTGGGACGAGTGGATTTACCCATCCGCCTGGGCGAAAAAGGGGAAGGACGACACATGGTAGTCCGGTTCCTGGTAGTAAAAGAACTCTCGGCCTACAACATGATTCTGGGACGACCAACCCTGAATAATTCCAAGGCTGTTATAATCCCATCTCTTATGTTGCTCAAGTTTGAGAGGGATAATGGAACAGTCGGGTCCCTAAGGGGAGATCAGAGGATGGCCCGAGAGTGTTATCTCTCGGATGTCAAGCCCACTGTTATGGCCACTGGGTCGAGTGGTGGAAAACCAGACCTTGACAATGTCAAGGAGAGTGCGCCTGTTCAAAAAGCAGGCGGCAAGAAGAGAAAGGCATCCCAGACAGGGGCCGCACGAAAAGACAGAAAATAGCAATCATTGGCAGAGGAGCGGTTGGATGAATTCCGCCCTCAGCCGGCTGGTGAGCATACGGATCTGATCCTAGACGACTCGCGTCCTGACCGAACAGTCAAAGTTGGGACGACTGTCTGAGAATCCTAGGTGACGACTTTCACAAACTATTGAAAGAATACAAGGACATCTTTGCATTCGAAGTCCATGAAATGCCAGGCATTAGTCCTGATCTGGCGGTACATAAACTGGCTGTGGATCCGAAAAAGAAGCCGGTACGGCAGAAGAAGCGGAACCATGGCGAAGAAAGAAGTCAGGCGGCAGCCGCCGAAGTTAAAAAATTACTTGACGCAGGGTTCATTCGGCAATGTTACTTCCCAAACTGGGTTGCAAATGTGGTGCTTGTTAAAAAGCCGAATGGCACCTGGCGAATGTGTGTAGACTACACAGACTTAAACAAGGCGTGCCCCAAAGACAGTTACCCTCTGCCTAAAATTGATAACCTGGTCGACTCAACAGCCGGCCATGCTTTGATGAGCTTTATGGACGCCTACTCTGGTTTTCATCAAATTCCTTTATGGAAGAAAGATCAGGAGAAGACGGCCTTCGTCACTGATCAGGGGTTATACTGTTACACGGTCATGCCGTTTGGTCTTAAGAATGCCCCAGCTACCTTCCAGCGAATGATAAACACTGTGTTCTTTGATCAGATTGGGAGAAACGTCGAGGCATACATTGATGATATGATTGTCAAGACTAAGCTTCAGATAGATCATCTGTCGGACCTCCGAGAAACTTTCGCCACACTCAGGCGGCACCATGTCATGCTCAATCCCAAGAAATGTGTATTTGGAGTTGAGTCTGGGAAATTTCTCGGATTCCTTATCAATCAGAGAGGAATAGAGGCGAACCCTGAGAAGGTGCAGGCGGTCATTGACATGCAGTCGCCTCGTACCATCCGAGAGGTTCAGAAGTTAACAGGTTGTCTGGCGGCCTTGGGAAGATTTCTAAGCCGATCAGGCGACAAATGCCTATACTTTTTCCAGGCAATTAAGAAAAAGGCAAGGTTTGAATGGGGGCTGGATGCTGAGGCCGCTTTCCAGAAATTGAAAGTTCACTTGCATTCCTTGCCGAGGCTGGTCAGCCCTTTGCCCAAAGAAGTACTCTACATGTACCTGGCCGTCTCTGATCATGCGTTAAGCTGTTCTCCTTGCTGAAAGAGACGGCTGTCAGCTCCCGGTCTACTTTGTCAGTCATGTACTGAAAAATGCCGAGTTGAGGTATCCCTTAGTGGAGAAATTTGGTCTTGCACTCTTCATGGCTGTTAAAAAATTGAAGCCCTACTTTTTGGCACAAGCAGTCGTCGTGTATACAGACCAACCTATCAAGCGGCCACTGACCATCATGGAGTCGTCAGGCCGAATGATCAAATGGGCCATAGAAATTCAGAGCCTCGAAGTTACTTTCGAGCCTAGAAAAGCAGTGAAGGGGCAAGCCTTTGCTGACTTTATTGTTGAGATGACTCGTCCTCCTGACTCTCAAGTTCCAGACCAAGTCTGGAAGGTATATGTGGATGGAAGATCTACTTCAAATGGTTGTGGAGCAGGCGTCATATGTCAGTCGCCAGAGGGCGACAGGTACGAGTATGCTTTACGCTTCAGTTTTCAGGCCTCAAACAATGAGGCAGAATATGAAGCTTTACTAGCCGGAATCCGCATGTGCAAGGCGGCAGGGGCAAGAAAAATAGACGCTTGTTCCGATTCACAATTGATAGTGAGTCAGT